GTACTGGATTGAAGAAAAAACCCTACTTAAATTACTAAATAACACATCTGACCAAATGCATATACACAAACAGAAAGACATGAAAAAAGCTAGAAGTTACAAAAATCTGAAGCCATCAGAAGTAATAATAAATGTAAGTGGAAAAAGGCGAGAAAGAGGGAAAACCTCTTGCCGGTAACTTGTCTCCGGCGAGCGAAATCATCAGCAGTGTTGCCGTTAAGCCTATCCCTTATCGACCTCTTCGTCACTGCCTCCACCCGATCGGCGTACATCGTATGCTCCGAATGGCCCCCGCACTCGATTCTTAGCACGGAACCCTAACCTTAACCCTAATTTTCACTTCACTTTTACAGATACGAATTGGAGGAAATTGAGAACTGGAAATAGGGAGGGGGCAGGGATTTTGGGGGAACTAATTCACCAGAGATTTTTCGGCAGATATTATTCTGCTCAGCTTATAATAATAAAAATCAAAAGAACCGCGATGCAGCCTACTCTCTTGATGATATGGGTTAAAGATTCGGGCTAGTGGGCAATGAATGGGTTTAGATAAAAATTAAAAGGGTAAAATTAAGATGTTGAGCAAAATATATAGATATTAGTTAATTAGCTAACATAGTTATAGTTTGCATTAATTACAATTTGAAACATACTTTTAGCTATAATTACATTTTCTCTTTGTGAAAATATCTAAAATGATTTCTTTTTAAGATCAAATATCATAGTTTCTAGAATAATCTAGTATATTCACTTGAATAAGTATCTTGTAGAAATATCTAGATATTCTAGAGTAGAAGATAATGTTACTAGATTTTTCTTGTAAATGTTTTAAAGGAATTAGATATTTGTAATGAATTATGGAATAGTCTAAATTTTGTAGTATGTAGAATCATCCATAAGTAAGTATAAATAAGGGATAGTATTGTACATTTGTAACATAACCCAATCATCCAAATCAAAGAATTTTCTTCTATAACAAAGTTCTCTTATTCAAAATATCCTTCTCCTTTCTAGCTTTCTCTTCTCTAGTTGAATCTTTCGATCTTAGTTAACGATCTTGGGCTAGTAGAAAGGTTCTTCGATTATACTTTTATTCTGCCATTCTCTACATGGTATCAAAGTCAAGCCGTAGATTGGTTTGCGGGTGTTATTTCAAGATCGGGTTACTGGTAGATTCAACTAGTTTGTGTAAATGGATTTAAGTGGTCATATTTTTTATTTTTTTTATTTTTTAAAATTAATTTTGGACTTGAAGTCCTTTTATTAATGCCTTAATGGGCTAAAAGTTCAAACAAAACAAAGAAAAATAGTACATTGTTAGCCCAAAACCTGGACCCGCTCAATTAGAGTTTCCTAATTTGATCCTTCTTCTCTTTCCACTTTTTCCAGTTCTCCATTTCTGCATCTCTGTCCGCAGCCATGTTCCCTTGATGCTCTTCAATGTTGAAGAATGTTGAAAAATTCAGCTGTCAAAGGTTTGGGTTCCATTTTCCGATACTTCTTCCTATTATTCTTTTGATAATCTCACTCATTCTTTTTGTATGTGTACTGCCCGGTAAGAATTCTTGTCAAGCTCCCAGGAGGGTGTGAGCCTTGCATTCAGCTTTGAAGATCTTTGTAAGTCATCTTGTACCTCATTCGTCTTCTTCTTCCTTTTCTTCTGCAAACATCTGACCCCTGTTGTTTTCCAGTTGAAGACGAATACGAGTGAACCCAGGAGCTCCCGTGCTTTCTCACCTCGATCTCCCCGTTGACTGCTCGTTTTGAATTTAGATACGGCTCCTAGACTCTCTCCTTTTGCTGGTCCATAAATCACTTTTTGTTGGTTGACATAGCTTAGGAAATGTTCCTGTACAACTCTTTTGCTCCAAAAATAGAAAAAATCTAAATTGTACATAGCATAGCTGAGAAACCCTGTGACTTCTATGTTGTATCTAAGCATGCTGACCATTGTTGTTGCTATAAATTCTCCTTGTTTTTATCTTAACTGAAAGGACCTGTTGTTTATCAATGTTAAGAATCTTTTTACCTTTGCTTGGAAGCTGATTGAACTGTTGAAATGTTAATTTCTACTCTGAATTGATCGTTGTATTAGCTATAAAATCTGCTAATTGATTCGCCTCTCTAAAAACATGCCAAACCTGTACATTTATTTTTTGAATGACTTGCTGGATATCTTCCACTTTCTCAATCACCTCCCATGATATTCTCCAACATCCTCTTATCATATTTTTTAGAGCTAGAGAATCTGTTTCCAATCGAACTTGACTGTATCTATTTTCCATACAATAATGTAAAGCTTTCCACATTGCCATTACCTCAGCTTCCATGTTGGTGGCCTCACCTATATTGTGTGCTTCCGCATATATAAGGTCTCCATTTCCATCCCTTATACAATACCCATAAGAACTCTTTCCCGGATTCCCTTTGCTGGCTCCATCAGTATTGCACGTAACCCAACCTTCACTTGGTGGCTTCCAACTCACCAAATGGTAGTGTAAAGTAGGTTTGTAATTATGTAACACCTCTACCATCTCTGGCCATTGAAATGGCATTCTTTTAATCCATGGAAATCTTAACCTTACTAACTGATATATAATTAATTGGCATTGATTATACATCTTGTTGTAAGTTACTTCATTTCCATATCTACGAGCATTTCAGCGCTTCCACAGTTCCCACATAATGATTGCTGGAATCGCTTTCAAAATGTGCTCTAACTTGCTTGATGCACTGTGCTCCCACCATTTGAAAATCAGTTGTTGTAAGGTTAACTCACTTATAATGACACCTGCACATGAAGCAAACTGCTTCCATAGCTTTTGGGCTATAGGAGCTGTTAGTAAAAGATGAGACATAGTCTCCATTTCCCCAGTTTCGCAGCAGTAACATTTGGAAACTACTTGCATCCTTCTCCTTTTAAGATTATCATCTGTAGCAATTATCCTTCTCCACACTCTCCAAAGAAAGAAACTAATCTTAATTGGCAAACTTTTAACCTACATGAACTTACTCCATTCTTCTTCTGCCTTTTTGCATCTCACCATATGGAATGCTGATTTAACAGTGAATGTTCCATTGGTGGTGCCTCTCCACCAAGCCTTATCAATATATACCTCTGAAACATTAGGTCTGATGTTTGTAAGTACATGTTGCACCATTTCCTCAGATATAAAATTCCTCAGTTTGTTCTCATTCCATGTTCCATTGGTGATAAAAATCGTTCACCTCTAGCTCCTCCTCATGTGCCCTTTCCCCTTCTGTGTAGTATAAAGCTCCTTGTCTTGTCCAATTATCAAACCAAAAGCTGGAATTTCCTCCTTTGATCTGCCACCAAATTTCATGCTCTACTTCTTCCCTAATGTTGATCATTTTCATCCATACCTGTGATGCACCAGAACTCGTAACCATCACAAGGTGGAGCTTTTTGCAGTACTTATTCCACATGTACTTTGCCCATAATGATGTGGACACTCGAAAGTTCTACCATAGTTTAGCAAATAAAGCATCATTGATGTCATGTAATGATCTAAAGCCCAAACCCCCTTTAACTTTTGGAAAACATAACTCTTTCCATGTCACCCAATGCTTTCCTTTAATTCCACCCAAATTTCCCCAAAAGAATTTAGCAAAAATTTGATGTATTTGCTCCAATACCTTTTTGGGTGGGTTTAATGCAGATAACATGTACACAGGCATGGATTGTAGTACATTGTTAATAAGCACCCACTTTCCCCCAAAAGTCAAAAAATTATTATGCCACGTAAGGACCCTCATGGCAATCTTTTTAACCATGTTTGTATAATAACTGATCTTCCTTCTTCCATAAAAAATTGGGCAACCCAAATAGGTAAAAGGAAAATATCCTTGCCTTATTCCTGTTAATCTACGCATTCTAATGGCTACAATCAAAAGAGTCTTATCATGAAGGTAAAAGAAACTTTTCTCCTTATTGATCTTTTGACCCGAAACCAATTCATAGTCTCTTAACACCTTCATCATTTTAATAATTGAACCTCTGTCTCCTGAGCCAAATAGAATAGTATCATATGCATAAGACAAATGATTTATCTCCGGACTCCATTTGGGAAGGCCATAACCCTTCACGCTATCATCCCTATGTAAATTATTTAACCCTCTGGCTAATACCTCTGCTGCAATAATAAACAGGGTTGGTGATAATGGATCACCCTGCTTCAGTCCTCTCGAGGACTGAAAAAATTCATGTGGTTTGCCGTTTATTAATACTGAGTACCAATTGTTTGATTCTCCATATCATATCAATGATTGCCTCTGCAAAGCCAAATTTTCTCAGAACTTTCGTTAGAAAGATCCAAGAAACTCTGTCATATGCTTTGGCCATATCCAACTTGACAACCACATTAATATTTTTGTTCCTCCTGTTAATGTCTCTGATTATATCCTGCAACAATAAGATATTCTCTGTAATGTTCCTTCCTTTAACAAAGCCTGATTGTGTTGGTGATATAAGATTAGGTAACCCCACTACCATCCTCTCATGAACCATTCTGGATATAACTTTATTTATAAAGGAACTAAGACTTATGGGTCTTAAATCAGTGAAATGCTTTGTTGATACTTTTTTGGGTAACAACACCAAGTTTGTATGAGTTACAAACTTGGGCAGCTCTTGGCCACAAAAGAATGCCCTCACCACCTTGGTAATATCTTCTCCAATTATCTCCCAACAACTTTGAAAGAAATGACCAGTAAAGCCATCTGGCCCACATGCACTGCTTCCATTTAGCCCGAAAACCACTTTTTTAACTTTATCTTGATCAGGGAGATATGTCATTACTTCATTTTCTGCATTGGTTATGCACTTAGGAATATGTTTCAACACTGAATACTCCTCTACTCTTCTCTCTTCAGAAAATTGATCCTTATAAAATTGAATTGCTGCCTCCCCAATTTCATCATTAGTACTCAGTGTCACCCCTTGCTCTGTGATCATCTCAGGCATGTGTAATTTCTTTCTTCTACCTTTGACATACGAGTGGAAAAATTTTGTATTCCTGTCTCCATCCATGAACCACTTCATTCCCGCTTTCTGTCTCCAAAAATCCTCCTCCAATTTCAAGTAATTTTTTTAATTCCGCTTCCACCTTGCTTAGTTCAGCTCTATTAGTTGCTGAAGGTTGTATCTCCAACTGCGCCTCTTTCACCTTAATGATGTCCTCAATCGTGGAAATTTGTTGAAAAATATCACCAAACACCTCTTTACTCCAAATTGACAGTGCTTTCTTTACCTTTTTCAATTTTGCATGGAATTCGATAAATGGATTTCCAGCAAAATCAACCTTCCAATTCTCCTCTACTATATTCTTGAACTATTTATGTTTACTCCAAAAGTTTAGAAATCTGAAAGGTTTGATAATAGGTTCCTCTTCTGAGTTACATATCATATGGAGCGGTGCATGATCAGACCCTTGTCTGACCCCTTGTCTAATTAGATGATGGACCTCAGAAGAAGGAAAAACATCCAGAAAAGCTTGATTCACCAATATTCTATCCAATCTTTTGAAGATGCACGCCTCCTCAATTCTTCCATTCCACCAAGTAAATTTACTGCCTAACCATCGCACTTCAGAAAGTGCACCACTACTAATAAAAGCTGCAAAATCGATTGCTTCATTAGGAGAAAATTCTAAACCTCCCAGCTTTTCCTCCTCATTTAAAATGACATTAAAATCTCCCCCAATAATCCAAGGATATTGCACTCTCTCCGCTATACTCTCTAACTCCTCCCACAACTCCAGTCTCTTTAAAGCATTGCACCTTGCATACACAACCGATATAATAAACTCCTTATTATTGTGTTTGAATTGGATAGTAACTTGTTGAATGGTGTCCAACAATATATTGCCCATCCATCCATCTTTCCAAAAGTACCAAATTTTGCCATTACAATTTGATGTCGCCTTGTCAAAACCTAGTTTCATTTTATATTGTTCTAGCACTGATGGATTCTGAAAAGGCTCCATCAAGGCTATAAATGCATAATAATGTCTTCTATTCAAGTCCATTAATATCTCAAAGGACTTTTGAGTATTGACGGACCTGATATTCCAAAAGATCATTTTTTCAATCATTGATCACTGTTGGTGCCCCTATCTCTACTGCTCCTTGTTTGTACTTGTAATGGAATAAAAGGTCTCCCCTTTCTTGCACCATTTTTCAGACTGTTAGTGTGTCTTGGTGACAGATCTCCCGCCTTACTGATCTGCTGTATATGAAATTCTATATCCTCGTCTTCTTCGATATCTTTTCTCTGCTGCATTACTTCCTCCTCTTCATCTATTAAATCTGGTCCTTTTGGAATGACTACATCGTCACCTTGATTAACCCTTATCTCTCATATACTTGTTTCAAACAATTTCCTTGATGTGGTAACGCTATCTCTTCTTGCCATATAACTACTCCCTTCCTCACCACTTTTCAACAATAATCCCTCATTGTGCACCTCATGTAAATCTTCAGATTGAATCTCCACATGTTTTGTTATGCTGCCACGATCCACTCCTAACTTGTGTTTAGTATGTGTTGTACTTCTTCTCTCTGTATTGTCCATACCTTTGTTAGAAGTATTTTCCTTCAATTCTTTGTTATTACTATTTTGCCTCCCAGGGGAATTTACTTTGGCCTGTACACTCTTCTGTTCTGCCTCTTTCTCATTCACCCTCTCCACTATCTGATCTTCCCCTCGAACCAGGTTCCCTGAATCCAACAGGTTAAACTTATTCCCTGTTGCAATTCCCACTATGTTCCACACTTTCACAGGTTCCTTATTTCTTCCAGCTCCCCCCCCCCCCATTTTCTATGTTTTTGTTCCATGAATTCATCTTCTTTTCTCCCATGATGTTGTTCACTTTCTTTCCCCTTTGTGTCATTATCTTTGTTTGTATTTCTGATGTGCTTGCCTTCCACCTCTTGCCTTCATCGTATTCTGATTTCTCCCTATTTGGATGCAAATCAGGGTGAACAACATAGCATTGTTCTTCATCATGCCCTTGGATCATACAAGTCTGACAGTATTTGGGAACATAATCGTATTTGATTTTCACCCACTTTTTCACCACCTCATCAGTCTTCATCCTCATACCAATTTTAATTCTTTTTGGGAACTCTCTTAACAAGTCTACCTCCACTTTAACACGTGCACAACTTGGTCTCGTCTGATTCCTTGTTGCCATATCCACTTGTAATGGTTTGCCTACAGCCGCTGCTAATGAAAATACTGCCTCTTTGCCAAAAAAAATTGGTGGAAGAGAAGGAAAAGAAATCCAAGCTATCGCAGTGGTCGTCTCCTCTTCCGGATTAAACGTATCCCACTTCAAGGTTCTCATTGGAAATGACCAATTATTTTGAGTAATGAAGAAGGCAGGCTTAGATAACAGATGAACATAATCCTCCAATAATGTTGCCTTGATCAGAACATGTCTATTACTCAAAAGCCCTATATTACAATCTCCCTTCAGCTCGCATTGTTTCGGAATGAGTTTCCTTAGATCTTGTATTTCTGGCCATCCGTACGAAAACTTTCCAACCACCGCATATTCAAGATTCTCATTTACAATCATTTGTTCCACCTCGTCTTGTTCCCATATCACTTGTGGTTCTCCATGCAAATATGTTATTGGTTTTAACGGAATGGGTTTAATATGGGCAGTTTTTGGTTTTAATTTTTCAGCATACGTGCCTCCATGAAGCTGGCCTACCTCTGGAGGAGGTTGACCTGTGGCCGTGGCGGCCATGGTAATCGGATCTATGCAAATTGATGATGATGGTTGTAGGGTTTCAAGATCCCAGAAAACTTAACGGTCATATTTAAGTTGTATGTAGATATACAAATACAATAATTGATACATATACATAGTAGTTACATATATACAATTATCTAACCGATATATATATATATATATATATATATACAATTCAACCTCTCTCCACTCTCTGCCCTCTCTCACTCGCCTCTCTCCTCCCCTCTCACAATCTCGCTCGCCACTCTCTTTCCTATAACATGTAACTATGAATCGTAATTAGCAAACTATAGCTATGGAGCATAGTTAAGCTATTTTTGAGTGGCTATATGCGAAAATTTTCCAAATTAAAATGGGATAGTTCAAGGTTTATAGCCTTGCTAAAAAAGCATTTTTTTCTTTTTAAAAAAATTAAGGAGTCGTTTGGTAGGTTGTATAAGAATAGTGTTGAATATGATCTATTAGTATTGCGGGTATTAGTAATGCATGTATTAGCCTTATTTATTTGCATTTAATGAAGGCTTTAATCTTATCATTGAGATCTCAATCATTAAAAGTTAATATATATTTTCTAATCTTAATCATTCACACCTAAATTATTAATTGTATTTATTTCTTATTTTACAATTGTTTAATGGGTATAAATAAGTTTGAATGGTTCATATCTCTAACAAAGTTTTAATATCATTAAGATTTTTATTTAAAATTTCTACAAAGATGACAGTTCAACACTACTCTATCTATCTTCACTCATATATATCCACAATCACCATTTTAGCCGCAACTATCACCATCATCAATCACCACCACTTACCATCCACAACCACTATCCTTAGCCAAATTATGACTACCATCAATCACCTTTATCAATTATCATCTCCATTAGTCATCGTTTGCAATTATCACCGCCAACCATTATTACATCCACTAATCACCATCGATAATTACCAACATTAGTCAATATTATATATCAGTAATTGTCATCATCATTTACTACAACTATTGGCTATCACTATCATTCCACAACTAATCATCGTCACCCCACCAACAACCACAATTAATGACGATTGTCAACAACTATACCATAAGATACTATCCACAACCACCACTGTCATCAGTTAACACATTTCAAATTGATATACACAATCATCATCATTAGTCATAATTATCATTTATGGTCATATAAAAAGTTAAAATATTTTATTGATATAATATTAGATCAATTTAGTATTTTATTTAAATTTTATATTTATTATTTTTAAATAAAAATCAATTTTATACAATCAGATGTTGAGAAAACAAATAATCTTCACTATTTAGTATTCAAGTCTTAAATGCTTGTATTAGTTATGTTTGTATTAGTTATGTTGAGACTATTTCTTATGCATTGTTTGATTTGGTGTGTTAAAAACAACGTGCATTGCATAATTTTTAAAAGAAATATTTGTTTATAAAAATATCATCGACAGAAATGGAGAAAGGTTGTGGAAAAGGTTTTGAGGGGAAATTGTATCTTTAATAATGTTAATGCATGCATTGTTAATATCAAAGATTTCCATGTTTATTTATACATACCTCAATATCAAATAGAGTGTATAACTAATGCGATACTTAGTTATTAAAAAAGATGTATCAAACAAAATACTAGTAATAGACAAAGTTAGTGCATGTATTAATTTTCTAATGCGTTCTACCAAACGACATCTTACACAAAGCTTTTAGCGAGAAATTATCATCACATATCATTAAAAGTGAAAAGCTTCTATTTTCAAAGTTGGATTACGATGTTGCCTCCTATACTAAATTAAAATATTATAATATATTATAATTAATTAAATATTAAATAGTTGCTCTATTCATCAAAATCTGCTCATATTCTCTTTCACCACGTTAATAAATCAAGAAGACATAATTCCTCATTAAACAATAGTATAATGTCACCGGTTAGAAACCTTTTCACTAAATGAAACGAAATAAATTATTAATACTATTATGACCATGCAACCAAATAATGTCATATCAGTTACAAATGGGAGAAATTATAATAGTATTATGTACATTGTACACACATTAATATTAATAGATCAAAAATTGTTGATTCTTTATTTTATTTCATGTTTACCTGAATAAATTAAAAAAGACGTGATTTCTCATTAAACAATATAATGTCAAATCAGTTACAAACTTCTTACTTTTTAATTTTCTTTTATTTCTCTTATTTATGTGCTATATTTGAAAATTCGAAAAGACATAATCGTACATTAAACATTATATTTCAAATCAGTTACTATAAGTCTTTTCACCTTTTGTAATATTTCCTATTTATATTTCAATCATAAATTCACTGAGCTAAACTTAAGTATAGTGGAGTAATACTTGCGTTGTTCTCTTTTTTATTTTGATGAAAATGCCTCTGTTTTATAATATATTGATCTTTTTATTTAATGTCTAATTATGTGAATGATGGAAGTTGAACTTATGAAGAGGGTGTAATACTTTTGTTTCCTATTTATTTATTGATTGAAAATATTTCTATTTCATTGAATTTTTATTTGATGATTTGAAATTTTCATATACGCAATTCATTTGTATTAGGTCGGCCCATAAGTATGTATATACACAAATTGAAGGTCATCTTTTCTTTTATATGCACTTTTTTTTTTTGGCGGTATATAATTTTTGGTTCAATAGTGAATTAGAGCTTGTTTGGCATTGTTGTTGGGAGACCAAAAATATTATTTGTTTTTTTTGGAAAAAAATATTTTTTAAGAAAATTAAGTGTTTGGCAAATCCTTAAAAATGCTTTTAAATAGAAGCTAAAAATTTCTGCTTCTTAAAAAAAAAAACAAAAGTAGAAAATTATTCTTTTAAGACTAAAATACTCATTTCATATACACATGATATTTACCAATATATTCCTTATTAATTAATTAGCATATCTCATAAGATTGGTTAAGTTTCATTTAAGAATTTTATTTTTTATTTTTATGTAATAAATTTTTATTTTATTTTTATTTTTATGTTTATGTATTATTATTTTGTATTTTATATATTATTTTACATAAATTAGAAATAAAGGTAACAACAACATTTTTGCAAGATTAAAAAAAAAGGAGAAAAAGTAACAATTAAAGATTTCAGAGATACCTTCAGAAATACAAGTCAAATCTTCTACTATTATGAAAATATTGCGTGAAAAAATTAGGGATGAAATTATTGAAAAA